TTTTCATGCATTTCTCTGGAACTCAAGATTGCAATAGACCCACTGACCTCTCCATTTGGCAAGAATAAGCCAGTGAATTATACCGGTTTTCTGGTGTGCGCCATGTAATCTGCTTCCACCCGATAATTTTTTATGGTAACAAATTCTTAACTGGGGTGGCTCATATTCAGCCCGACATGGCCATACATTTATTCAAATCAAACAGTAGTAATAGCCTATTCTACGGGTTCTTGCAAAGCACTAACTACTGGAGGTTATCGTAAAACCTTTTATGGATTTGTGTTATAAATCGGCTAATAAAAAAGAAAAAACACTATTGCTAAATTTTAAATGGTTTAAAACCTAGTACTATACATTTCCCATTTGCTATGAACTCAAAGAGATGAAAATTGGGGTAGTTTGGTCTTTATTTGAAACATTGCCATGCATTTCTACTGGAACTCAAGATTGCAATAAACCCACTGCCCTCTTCAGTGGCAAGAATAAGCCAGTTAATTATACCGGTTTTTTGGTGTGCGCCATGTAATCTGCTTTCACCCGATATTTCTTTATGGTAACAAATGCCTAACTGGGGTGGCTCATATTCAGCCCAACATGGCCATACATTTATTCAAAGCAAACAGTAGTAGTAGCCTATTCGACGGGTTCTTGCAAAGCACTAACTACTGGAGGATATCGTAAAACCATTTATGGATTTGTGTGTATAAATCGGCTAATATAAAAGAAAAAACAACATTGCTAAATTTTGAATGGTTCAAAATCTAGTACTGCACATTTTCCCTTTGCTATGAACACAAAAAGATGAAAATTGGAGTGAATTGGTCTTTATTTGAAACCTTGCCCAACCTCTTAGAGCATGTAGATGTAATTGGAGAAATAGGCACTCATCCAGCGATTTTGTCTGCGTCCACGACTTTTTTTTTGGAAACTTTTCCAGTTATTATACTCAAAGAGCTTTTGAAACTTGAAGTGACAGTTCTGACGTTCAGGCTACAATAGAAAAAGTTATACACACTTATTAAATACCATACTATTCTGTGATTCACTATTCGATTTATCTTCGTGAAGTTCCTCCGATGCTTTTCAAAGTTGAAACAAAAGTCGCAGGTCTTCGATTACAGAATGATTTCTAAAGTTTTGCTTGCTGTGCTATGCTTGATCGCCGTACTTTGTATGGTTGATGCCCAATGGGGTTATGGTGGCTTCGGTAGAGGATATTATGGTGGATACGGTGGACATTATGGAGGTTACGGTAAGTCCTTAGATTCTTCAGATATCCTGAAACTGCGACTTACTCGAAAGGTTCGTCATTTCAGGGTACCGACCATACTTCCGTCGATCATTCTATGGAGCTCACTCGAAAGGTTCGTCATTTCAGGGTACCGACCATACTTCCGTCGATCGTTCTATGGAGGGTATCCTGGTTATGGATACGGAGGCGGCTACGGTTATGGTCACGGATTTTACGGATAACTCTTCAGTACGTGGATTCCTAACGGACAGGCACGCCTACCTCTTGATATGACTTTAATTCTGAGGCAATGATTTGTTTCTGAATGCAATTTGATGTATAATTTGTGCAGCTAATAATCTTTCTGATAAAGGTATTTCAACGATTGTTCAGCTCTGTACAGCAGTAGCCGGTCTCAAAATCCTAGAAAGAAAATAGGATCCTTACGATTTTCGGGTCACTCCGAGCTCAGAACGATGTCTTAGTTACCACACTGGCGTTTTTTTCGTGGAACTCTACAATCTTTAAATCATCGCCTAAAAATACTGCCGACGTCTTTTCAAAAACATACTGATACCACAGAAAAACATTAGGGGAGGAGCTGGTGTAGTAGTAAATGGCGTACTATCACACCCATGATGCGAGATCGGTTAATGGATGGATGCTCGTTTTTAGAGTTAGGCAAGGACACAGCCCCATAAGGACCAGCCATAATACGATTTTAGGCACCTTAAGCCTTCCTCCTCAGGAGCTCAATCAAATTTTACCGGGTCCTACTGGGAGGAGAAAAGCACTGAATCGCAAATCGTCTGGCCCCACAAAGCATTGGGAAGACCACATACGCACTTCCCCAACTCCTTGAAAAAAAAATCATTAAATGCAATTGCCACAATGTTGGAGAGCTCTTCTGGTCCCGTCGGGTTGTAACCGGCTATCACTAAAGGCTTCTGGGTGAAATAATGTGAGTCCCACGCACCCATGCACTTGCCCAACTTATCTATTCATAAGCCCTCAGACGATTTTAGGCATTCTTCCGGAAACAAAGCGTCACATTGCAAACTTTGAATAGAATGTCAAATTCGTCTTTGGAATATCCATGACTCAGGACGTACCTATTCTTAGCAGCAGAATAGAATAGATTTCTTGACGTCTGCTCCTGTGCAGTCTCGATCCCTGTTATTTTTCGTGATTCTCAATTTTCGTACTTTTGTCCGCTCTGGTTAGTAAATTTAAAACGCGATACATTTCGAATTCCGACGATATCGAGTGAAAGCCTAATGCGCGGCCTAAATTGGAACTCTGAAGATTTTGCCGGTTCAATTCCATTTACTGGAATCATGGTTTTACCAAAATATTTCTTTTAGTACCTTCTTCACCGTATACGGTCCCGGTCCTTGCTGGCTATCCAAAGTTGAGCGAGCGATCAGATTTGGGCCAAATCCTTATGTCGAGACTGGATTTTGCCGCTTCAATGTTTTCATTGACTATTCAAAGCGTTATCGAAGGACGACCCAATTTTCCAAAGTCTTTGCAGAATTTATCGTTCAGCATTTTAAATGGTGATTTCGAGGATGAAGTTCTCTTCGGAATGCGGAGCAATCTAGAGCGATAGGCCTAAAAGAGATTCTCAAACGAGTTGCCGAGGTTCGACCTCTCGTAAGCGCTAGTAAGAAGGTCTTGGGAGTTCATATATTGCTCTGCTACTAACGAGTTCAGAAAAGCATTACACTCTAAGCACGTTTATGTAGAATAGCAAGAGGCATTAATGTACCAGCACGTAATTACTGTAAAGGTACCTGCTCTCCGGGCAATTCTGTGAGTGGAAATGATGTACCAGCTTTTCTCTGAAAGAACTTACGGATTTTAGAGAAGCGCGCACCCGCACTTTATCTATTGGGAAAATCTTTGTGAAAGCCTCTTCTGTGCGTCGAAGTCAGAAGTAAGCAGGAACGTCTATTTTCCACGCTAGAGTACTGCCTGTTCGCTTGGTATTCATCTATAGAGATGCCTTTAAAGGTCCTATCAGTCGTAGCAGACTCCGAACTTTGAATCAAAAGCATACGTGGTAGAACGTTACCTGGAAGTTGTGGTATAAGTTAGAAGTTTAAATGAAATTTGCAAATATAAAACTGATGAAAGGTAAAAGAATTGCTCTATAAACATTTGAAGTGAATTACAAGTTATGAAAAAATTTCAAGTCGGAAATCATTCAATGTTGAAACGTTGTAAAAGTTACCATCCAAATCGTATGCTTATGATGGCAGTAATAGCATATACTCAAAATTTTCAATACTTTTTTTTATTCTACTTTTAGTTATCTTTTAGTCATGAATAATCAGAAACAAGTCTCAAGGCTACTATCTTATATGATGGCAACAGACAGAGGCGGTTTGGTGGCTGATGGCGCACTGTCACACATTCCGGGATCGTTTCCGTTCAGGCTCACCAGGTGGCACACTTCAAATACGCATGGTCATACGTTCGAATCCCGGATCGATATCCGAATAGGCCAACCAAGCATTTCATTTCTCCCGGTTTGGATAAATGGTACCAGGCTCATTTGAGAGAACAAAAGCTCTGACCTGCACACCGACTGACCACCGCAAGTCATTATATGGGCCACATACGCATTGAATGCGCCCTTACGACTCTGAGTGGAAGTCGAATCGGTGGTGCATCCCTCAGACGTAATTAATCAACACCCAAAGGCTTTATACCTTTATCCTTCACATAATTGCAGCGAGTTACTTCTGATTGGTTGATCCCTATGAAAATGATTGCATCCATTGGCTATTGTGAAGATTCTGCGTATTTTGTTGCGATTCTTTTTCCTGCACGGANACCGCAAGTCATTATATGGGCCACATACGCATTGAATGCGCCCTTACGACTCTGAGTGGAAGTTGAATCGGTGGTGCATCCCTCAGACGTAATTCATCAACACCAAAAGACTTTATACCTTTACCCTTCACATAATTGCAGCAAGTTATTTCTGATTAATTGATACCTATGAAAATTATTGCATCTATTGGCTATTGTGAAGATTCTGCGTGTTTTGTTGCTATTCTTTTTCCTGTACGGAGCCCCCATACCTTTAGAATAGAGCTTTGAGTGGCCCGTCCACCCTGTGTGTGCGATAATAATAAAGTGCGATTTGTGGAATTCTGCTAAGCCTTGATATGATAAGCACCTAGTATGATTGGGAATAAGTTGAAGAATTTCGAAAAATGAAAAAAAATCAGAATAAAATAATGTGACAACGTACGCATCGCCACCATTCTGAGGTGAATTATTCGATTTGGAGCAGGTTTTGACTTTTCGGGAACTTTAAAAGGGTGAAAGCAACCACTCATTCGATCTAGATGTTTTCATAACAGGCGGGAATTCAAAAGTCTAACACTATTTCATTTTAATGCTGGACCAATCTGCTTGAACTCATCGGGAAGAAGTCATTCTTCTAATAATGTCGGTGGGGAAGAAATCGTCTTCGGTAGGTGTCAGCATATTATATTAAATCGTTGCACAAAGGAGAGGACGGTTTTTCAAAAAAACCGGAAAGGACATGTACAGTAAGATTTGCAAGGGCTTCGGCCTTGACATGATCTTTGAATCACATCGTACGGTCTTTTGTTGGCGTCACGAGAACTCTCGGGTAAATTTTTTTCCCTGTAGAATGACCAGTAAGCCTCGTTGATTTTTGATTAGGCGAAAAAAATAATTCGTGGACTTCCAGTCCTAACAAACACCATTTCTTGGACAATTTTTCTCAAACGCTGAAGCCCCTTTACCAAGCTAAGCCGGCTAATGCTGCTACTGTTTTCCAAGCTCACCCCCTTTGGAGTGCGCCACGCATATGGCACTCTTCGAAATCAAGTAACTGTACTTATTGGCCTGAACAATGATTTTACAGGCCATCGCGACTTATGAGCTACGATCAATTTGACAATTCGGCTTCTGTTATTGCAGACTTCTGTTACTGTGACTGTATAAATATTATATCGTGTGGGGAAGTATCGGCCGGAACTTCTGCATCAGTAGAAACTAATGGCCTAGCCAATGCTGACAGATCTGTCCCACTCAGTGAAATAATTGCCAAGGGTATATACGCTTTTCATGCGATTCGTGAGGCATGCTTATGGCTATCCAGGTCAAAGGTAGAACCCTGGAGCCGCTACTTTGAGGCCACGGTCTTCTCAGAACAAAGTAAGCGTTCCAACCCTTCGAGGCAACAATATTTGAAATATCGGTTCCAAGTGGAAGTTTACTAGTAACGTTCCCTTGAAAACTAATTTTACCACTGCCTAGGAGTAATACCCAACTACATGTCTCAATGACCCCGAACACATTTAAAGCGACTGGAGTATTCCCATGGAACCAACACGCTGACAACTTTATCAGTTCTCGCTCTAATGATATTATCTATCGTTCTCACTGCCGTTCTCGCTGCCAATTTGGAGTCTTTACTGGTTTTTTCCTTCTGCCGTAGAGTTCCTCGCAACATGGAGGACTTTGGCACAGAGACGGACTCCCATTGACGCTCACGAAAGTTCAATGGAAAAAATGAAGAAGATCTCATCTCTCTAGGCCTCATTTTCACCGATCAACAGAAGTCTGTTGTGTAATCGACATACGATGAACTGGATAACGAGACTATGCGTTGCCGACTGATAAAGATGATAGAAATCAGAGATCCATGGAATCCGTTCCGAATGATGTCAATGTTGACGGAAATGGGGCGTATCGCCGTTTTCTTGGCCTTAGAATCACTTGTCGAACGTCGTCCTTGAAGCTCGTATAAATATCGAACGATTGTACGCTTCCGATTACTTCAACTACGCTATGATTACAGACACGAATCATAGGAACGTCGATCCTTTTCTGTTGTTCCACTAGATGTCATAAAATTCTTCTGTTGTCTACAAGTCCAGCACGAGGCCCTTAGGATCTTTTTTGTGAGAAAACGCGTCGTTCTCCCTTCCTTGGATAGTTTTCCTGGAAGCCCTTCACTTACGACTTTCCAGTTAGGAGAAATGACGAATCGAATGCTTGTCATGGCTTTGTGCCTCATCGCTCTTCTATGCATCGTTGAAGCCCAATGGGGTAACTTCGGTAAGTCCTTCAGTACATGAATCAATAATCAGTTCAGCTGTCCAGATGCTCTAGAAGTTCGTAGTTTAGGCCGTGGGTATGGAGGCTACGGCCCAGGATATGGAGGGTATGGCAGAGGAGGATATGGAGGCTATGGAAGAGGAGGATACGGAGGGTATGGCAGAGGGTATGGAGGATATGGAAGAGGAGGCTATGGCCGAGGGTTTGGAAGAGGAAGAGGATTCGGTTTCGGACGTCGCGGAGGATTTGGACGAGGATTTGGACGATTTGGCCGATTCGGATAAATGCTTTCTACAAAGTGTAATTAATGTAATGTAATAAATAATGTAATGTAAATGTAATGCAAATGTATAAATGTATCTAAATCGATAAGATGTGTTTTCATGAATAATACTAGTCCGAAGAACATTGCTTGACAGAGTTTGAACCAGAACTTTTGCTCAAACTATAAAAGTGTATAAAAAAATAAAAAATAACTATTAAAAGATTGATTTGTCTATTAGTGACAAGCCACGCATTCGGCCTTCATTCTCAATCATACATCTTTACTTTTGTCTAGTTTATGGTTGTTCTGCGAGGATAGTACATTACCAAGTCTAAATATAATAGTAATTTGTTGGCCTCAGTGAAAATGGATGCTCTATGAGCAGCGAAGGATTGGAGGCTTCAGCAACCTCCATTCTTAAAACAACACAACCCTACGGGGACGGAACATTCGTGCGTCCGAAGTTCGCGGCAAATTGCGCGGCGATATCCGTGCCCTTTAAAAAGACCTTACCGCTCATCATTAGGGACTAAATTCGAAGTAGAGTAAGTTAGCATTATCGGCTGACCCTGTCAATCTTTTTTACTTCAAACCTGTAGCCCAATGGTAGGCGTCAAAGTCGTCAAAACCATCGTGGATTTCGCCGAGCCATTTTCTGCGCGCATCCCGGACGCATGAAGTGCCCATACCCCATCCCTGCGAGGGTTCGAAGTATTGGTAAGGAATATAATCTCCGCCTTCTATGAATAAACTCCACCTATCGCCAAACGCGCACCGCCTACAATACTTCACTAATTGTTTGACTTCTTCCATAATGCTCCACCACCTTTTCCCAATGCACATTGTCAAAATGAGTACAATAACGAAAAGTACAGCAAAACGCACAAACAGCAAACTTCTGCTCTATAAGTATAATTCTTAATTTTAATTTATGATTTGTTTACCCATTTGTTGCTTCTGCATNAATAAACTCCACCTATCGCCAAACGCGCACCGCCTACAATACTTCACTAATTGTTTGACTTCTTCCATAATGCTCCACCACCTCTTCCCAATGCGCAAGCCATTGTCAAAATGAGTACAATAACGAAAAGAACAGCAAAACGCACAAACAGCGAACTTCTGCTCTATAAGTATAATTCTTAATATTCATTTATGATTTATTTACCCATTTGTTGCTTCTGCATCGTGCGTCAGGGAATCATCAGTCAGGTAAATAAATAGACAGGTCAGAATCAAGGAGTGTAAATTCTGCAGTGCTTCCTCAAATTATTGAAAGATGCTCTAATCCTTTACCATGACCTATTCTTGATCGCTTATATAATAGGAGAGCTTTTAGGAGTGGTCCGATAGCTCACTCCGAATCCTGCAATACAGCACTAACGAATTTCAAGTGCTTTGATGTTTAAATTAAAAATGACGAATGGAATTTTTGTTGTGGCGTTGTGTCTGGTTGCTGTTCTGTCTGTGAATGGAGCACATTGGGGTTACCGTGGTGGTACATACGGTAAGTTTATACTCATACAGTCCACCGTCCAACAGTCACCTTTTACCCAGATTAAAGACATTCCCATTTAGGAGATGACAATGACTTTCGAGGATATTCCATAGGCAGAGGTTTCGGGCCGCATGGATTCGCTCAAGGAGGTTTTGGAAGAGCTGCGTCAATTCTTGGAAGATTCAGTAATCGATTTGGATAGAACCCATCTCCTGTGAAAAATGAATATAACTATTTGGTTCGAAACCCGAGCATTTCAAAGAACTCAGGGCTTGACTGTCTATTGCTGAGCAACAGCAACAGGGTTCATCACTGGTTTACACTGGTTCGATTGATTTACAAAGGAATAGGAAACAAAGTTGTCACCGAACTGAATAGCGAGAATCGTAAAGAATTCGTGACCCAGTTATGAGCGGATATATGTCAACACTGGAGGGCTACAAAGCTCAAGCCTGTAATATGATCCAAGTGAAATTGCGTTCGGAAGCCGCTCAGAAGTACTACAACCAGAACTAGAACCCTTCTAGTCATAAATTTTTTTAGCGAAAGCTATGGAGAGACTACTAGTCTTAATATCAAAAGTCAGCAGCTCATTCGCTCATTCGTAAAAGTCCCAATCATGATTAAGTAAAATTTTAGACGAAACGGTCGAAGCATTGGCCAACACCATAAGTTCAGCAAGTCCTCGGTTCCTTACACATTTGTGGTCTGGCCAATTTATTGAAAGAATCGGAACAAGTACGGCCCAATCAAGGTTTCTTGAAGAGACAGGCAGCGTGAATGAAGTCTTTCTTTCCCTTCGTGTTCATGATACCGCCACATCCAGCCATCGTGCCATTGAGTAGACTCTTGACCTTAACAATTTTAATTGGTTGTTCTTTGGCAAAGTGATAGATACAGTCTTCAGGTTGTGGAGCTGTGCAGATAGATACATCCATATGACATCCTCTTGTTCTATACATACCTCACTTCTTCTGTGATCAAAGCGGGGTTCGAGAATCAAAAGCAGTTTCTGCCACAACAGTCCGTGACTCGTTTTTGGGAAATACCTGTCCAAATGGCGCTATTTTAATGAATACAGGGATGGGGAAAGGACTCAATAACTAACTCTTTTCCTTTGATAACCATGTCAGCCTGTACACTTTCGGGCGACTTCAGCCATTCCACTGCCTTCTTCGCCCACTCATCGCTCCACTTCTGCGATCATACTCTTATGGATGAATGTGAATTTCTTACATCGTTAACAAAACTGACCACACCCTCGTTGTACATCGAACTGATTGTCTTGAGAATTTCTCCTGCCTCTTTTGGTAGCGGGCCCTCTGATTTCGACTCTACACCATTACTCAAATTCACAGGAGGCTTCAAGTACAGGCAGGCAGCGTAAACAGAATCTTTCGCCTTTCCTGTTGTATTGACAATGCCATTGCATCCATATATTGTGAAAGGGGGAAGGCGAGCGACCTCAACAAGGTTACATTATTGGGTGTGCTTCCAAGAATGAAAGCCATAGAACACAATGTTGTGATGCATTCGGCTCACCTCCCTCTTTCTTCTTTCGAAACGGTGCCCCAGGATTTGGAGCAGTTTCACTTCTAACGGTCTGTAGTCCGTTTTCGGAAAGTACCTGCACAGTGCTGCGTTACTGTGAATAAAAGGATAATACAAAAGCACAGGAACTTACGCTTTTCCTCTGATGACCATGTCAGCCTTTACACTTTTTGGTGACTTCAACCATTCCAGTACGATTTTCTCCCAGTGGTTGCTCCATATCTGTGAATAACATTCTACAAGCTATTCTAGGTAATCAAATAAAGATACCCATGAACCGACCAGGTTGTCGTTGAAAATCCTATTCAAGATCCTGAAAGTTTCTTTTGTCCGGTTTTGCACAGAATCTCCTGAACCTGAAAATCAGCCTTCTAATGAACCTAAGGCGGCTTCCAAGAATGACATAGAATATACTGATAAGTAGTTACGAAAGCCAAAAGGACCCACGTATGAGTGCGACATTTTCTCGAATGAATGCCAGTGCTAAGAACGCAACCAACATTTCGAAGACGACATCTTTCTTTCTTTAACCCTCCCTTTTATAGAAAATGACTGTGTACGCTAGATGCACCTGCTCTACTTACAAAAATAATATAATTTCAATGCGTTCGAGAAAAAAGGTGATTGCAAGTCAGATGTTAGCACAATGCATTCCCATCGAGCTGCGAAAAATTAGTTGTTGTCAACATTCTGCAGTTACGTCAGCATATTGGTTAAGATCGAATATGTTCATAAATAATTTTTTGTACAAAAGCAGAGGTTCTACGGCCATGCGGTTAGAAATTCTAATTTACTTGAACCGATGCAACCTATGTTACCACTCAGGTTCCTTTGCAAAACGTTCTTGCAATAATTCCTTCACCCTTCTTACTTGGACACTTGGATGATCGTTGTCGGCGGATAATCTTTAGTGGCGAGCGAACGCTTCCTATCATTTTTGGGTTTCGGCCCAGTGAGTCGCTCTGTTTCAAGACGCGACTCACTGGGCAACCCTTTGTTGCAAGACCTGAGCGCTTTCGGTCATGGGTCTCGGT